GTTTATTTACAATTGTAAATCATCGCCAATAAAACACCCATTTTTGAAACTTTGTCTCAAGAGGTCTGTTTTTTACACAATCGTCTGATCCTTTTTTAATTGTTAGCGACTACCCTGCGAAACAAGTACATAAAAATTATATAAATATAATGAACATAAACTACCACAAAATCACTCATAAACATCACGCGTGCAACCATCTCCACCATCACACCACATACACCTCAAACTGAAATATAAATCATTGATAATTATAAACCATATTTTTGGAAATTAAATTTCAAACCTAAAAAGAGTAATGAAACTTTGTGGGACGCTTTGCTAAAAACGCCCACTAAATAGTTTTCTGAGTTCTTTTCATTCTTGGACGATCTTTACAAAGATTTTTATTACTCTATTATGCCATGGACCCTTCAATGTAGACAAAAATGGTCACTTCGATTTCTCCAATAACCTAATACTATATAAATCCATGGAGTCTTAATGCCATGCCACCTCTTCTTCCCAACAGCGCCAGATTTTCTTAATTTCCTCAACCCAGTTTTTGCGAGTGGTTTTTACTCATATTCAGGTACTTGATTTGATCATTTTATTTTTCAGATTATTCAATCTCAGTGTTCTTGTAATGTTATGCATGTTTGGCGGTGCTTTCGATTTACACTTCAAGAAAGTACATCTTAATCCCATGTATTTTTCCATTCCATTTTCAGGATTTGCAACTATGGGGGAGATTGATACCAAACCAATTGAATCGGTTCAAGCTGCAATCTCGTTGTTCGGTGAAAGAAAAGATGATAGCCCTACGAAGAATGAAGTAAGTATTGCATATATTTGTATCAAAATTTTGAGATATCTTAATTTAGTAGAAGAGTTAAATCTGATTGCTCATCAGGAATAGTAACAGAAGCCATTGTATCTTGATTGTTGATTTCATATATTGGGTCCGTTTGACAGTATTTTTGAAAAGTCAAAAATTATTTTCAAAATTACAAAACTGCATTTGAACGTATGAATAATTTTTTGAAAGTGTTTTTGTGTAATAGTTGTATGTTAGCTCCAATAGATTTTGGACATAAACACTTTTAATATGATCGATACATTATTATTTGGGGCAAATTTATTATTTAATTGAATTATTATTTCGATAACTTAAATTAACAAAGTCTATAGATTCAAATTTTGACAACTTGTTAATTATTACAAGATGTGATTGTGAAATTTAAGTTACATATAATTGAATCTTAAATTCTTTTTGATCATATGTAATAACAAGATTTGGATATCGTTATTGTGAATAGATCAACACATAAAGCATTTCTAACTTATGAAGTGAGTAGCTAGTCTCAAAAACTAAAATATAATGATATTTAAATGGATGCATGCATATTTTGTTAAGAGAACAAATCATTAGGTATTCGCTATCGAGATTCCATGTGTAAGTGGTTAATCACCAATGTTCGATAGTATAATTGATCTTTTGATTTGATGTCATCATAATACCTTATACGATGACAACCATACGTTAATTATTGTTGGATGTTACTGGACTAATAGTCGCTAATACAACATCGTTCGAGTATGTCAAGCATCATATGAAAGTTATGAATGATAAATTTAAGATTCGTCAATCTTAAATAGCAATAGGCTGCGAGCTAAGTTTGATATGATCAAATTGATTTCAAAATCCTCGATAAAAGGTAAGTACGTAAGTCGAAATGAGTTTCGACGTTTATTGATTTAGGAGGGGGACGAAAGATAGGGTCGATTAACTGAAATTAATATATATCCATATCTCATAATTGATTAGATCATATTAACGAAAAAATTATAGTTTCACGATAAATGAACAAATTTGATTTTGTCCAATGTTTTAAAACTCAAACTGGGCATTAGCCCTAAAATCGAAAGGATCAAAGGTTAAAGAGTCAAACTATGTAGTTAAATAAAGATAAATAAATATTTTTAAACAATAAATAATTTAAAATTTGTTAATTGAAATATTTGAAATAAGATAGAAAAATTAATTGATTTATTCAAAATCACTACAAAATCACAGGAAATGCATTTTTATTTTTCCTAGTCGCACATCAGATTCGCAATACAAAGTCGCATTGAATGCATTGTACCAATGGATGGGCTAACAGAAAGGTAAATAATCTCTTTGGGTCTTTTAATTCAGCTAGTCAAATTTGAACGTATATTGCATCTTATTCAAAAATATTTTATAAGTACTGTAAAAGCAATGTTTGATACCCATTTTTTGAGAGAATTTTATAGGTCTCAATCGAACTAAATTAAATAAAATTTAAGATAGAAAATTAAGAAAAAAAATTATATTCTCAAAACTCAATTTTTACGATGAAATATTACAAATAAGCAACATTTTTATACTACATTTAATACAAAAAATTAATTGTTAATACATGTTTTTAAATACACATTAAAATTTCTAGATACACCAATAGAAATAAATTTATTTATAATAACTCTATATTCACGTAAATCAAGATTCATCGGTCAAAATTTATTGAGTCTAGATTAATGTGAATGTTAATTAATTGAAAATTAATAATATGAAATTCATACATGATAAGAATTTTATAGTATTTATTACATATTAAAAAATGAAAAGTAAGGTATTATTGAAATAATTGAATTATAGTAATGTTAAAATAGTCCAAAAATGATTCTCACTTGATGTGATATTTATTAATCATATATATGTTTAAAGATGATTAATATATAATTTTTAAACAGCTAATCAACTGGCAAAACCAATTTCGAGTCATTTAGCTAGTGAATAATCGACCAATTGATCGATTTTTTTTTAAAGATTTTATATTAAGTGGGTTTATAGCTTTAATCGAACCGAAATTTGCACCGATTCTTGATTTTTTCAATTGAATTAGTCATTTTGATCCTGTCCAATTTTTATAACATTGATTTTGTCACACCGTGTGATATTTTTTGTCAAATATTGTCCTAACATATTGCTAGAAGCCATGATGAATGTGAATTAATTAATTTAGGTGAATTAAATGATAAATTAAAGGGGGGGGTTAGTTTATCTATTTTTTGTTAGATAAAAATAATAATTCACGTCGTCCAACATCGTGATAGGGATCTAATTGTCACACACAAAAGGCGAGAACTAGAAGGATGATATTAAAATTAATTAACTAATAAGTAAGGGACATTTATAAAATTAATTAATTGGATTGTTTATTAATGGATTTAAATTAATTAACTTATATCCCAAATTTAGTTAATTATTTTAAGTGGAAATTACACGGGCACGATTTTTTAAAGATTCCTATTCAATAATCAGATTGCTTGTTCATTAAAAAATCAGGTGGCAATTCTATAATTTAATATTAATAATAATACATTATAAAATTAAATTATGCACCACCTTCTAATCTACCCAAAATCAGATTTAATCCCAATTTCGTCTCTCTCTAACCTATTATCTCTCTTCCTTATTTCTATTAATATCTCCCTCTATCATCTTGGCTCTACAATCACTCCTACCATTTCTTCTCTACTCTCTCTGTAACTAAGAAGTGGAAATCAATTTCTAAGATCCAACTTTCCCAATTTCTCGATTAAGGCTCAGGTCGCTGCTGTAGCGTTTTTTTGGTGGTTTTGCACCAGTTTATGTGGTAGTTTTTGGTAATATTTGTGGTGGTTCTGTAGCGATTTGTGGTGATTTTTTGAGATTATTTTGTGGTAGTTTTCAAGGCCTTTTGTGGTGGGTTTTGAGGTAGTTTGTGGTGATTTTGAGGTGGTTATTTTCTGAGGTGGTGGTGGTTGCATGTTCAAAAAGTGTATGCCAGGTGTTGTGTTGATATTTGTTGAGGGTGCCTGTAATGATGATAGGTTACAGGTCCGATGTACCAGGTCACACGTTATTGTGCATTGATCACATAAATATTCACAAATCACAGATCATGTTTGTATGTTACAAGTCATATTCCAAATATTTTCAAGTCATATTGTATAGGTCATAGATCAATGGTCACCATGGGTGGGCCACAGATAAATTTTCACAAGTCATGGATCGCTATGAGTAGGTTATAGATCAATTAAAATTAGTTACATATCAATGTCCATAGGTCACATATCAATGTCCGCATGTCATAGATCAATTAAAATTGGTTATAAATCAATGATCATAAGATCACAGATCATATATCCACATGCATAGGTCAAAAATCACAAATTCAAAAGATCTACTCACACGGCATTAATATCTCGGATCACAGTTCTCCGAATTGGTCACAAATTCAATTTGTCGAATTTCAATGGTGAGAATTGAATTATTTGTACGGTGAGTACTTTGTAAATTTCACCGGGTGTTGTTTTTTAATTTCTAATTTAAAAAATAGATTTAAATTATACCAACACTACTCAGTCGTCGAGAATGTTCAATCAATGTTATTCAACGGTTGTTATGTTTCTCCCTCTATCTCTACTTCTAAGCCGGTGATGCTCAGTTGCCGATGTTCATAAAATCTATGATCAGTTCGCCGCTGAAACAATTATCGACAAACTGTAGATTTTATGGATGCTAATAATTATGAGGGTGAATGTTGATGGGTAGATACCGACGGACCGGTGCGCGGGAGTGGCGTGAGGTGGGAATGGAGGTTTGGTGGAGTAAATAGATTAATTTAATTTAATAATAATGTTATTTAAAATTAAAATATCCAATTAACGCATGACTTTTGAAATTTTAAACTTAATCTCTAAAAATTGAATTGGTTCATACTTAATACCTTATATATGAATTTTTCCCATATTTTAATTTATTAATGGGTAAGCTTATATTTAATGGGTTAATAAGCCCATTTAAATATCTACAAATAACAACTAAGGTTTGACTTTTTCATAACTCACTTTATAATATTAATAATCCTTTCAACAAGGGAAATGGAAACACTAATTTCTTGTTCTTATTCTCCTGTGGATAATTTTTGGATGTCGCATAATTGGGTAAAATGGTTGTGGTAGATCAAGATTCTCAAAGGTGTTTGAAGAATTTGTTGAAAGTAAAATTCTAATTACGATTTCTATCTAAACGCAAAAACGATCATTGAAATGAATTAAAAATATTTTAAATTTTGCTGTGTATGTATAAGTAAACTCTCAAGAAATAAACCAATTGTACATTCCTTTTGTATAACTAGTTTGACATCCACTGATGTGTAAAAATCATGGCCATTAATTTGAATAAGTGTCGTTTAAATCAACGGCAATGATTTTGACACATCATGAATGTCATACTTAATGTACAAAATAAATGTACGTGTAGCATCTTTGAATTCCCTAACACTTCGTCTGTTGGAAGAATTTTTAAAGAAAGTTGACTTGAAATAACTTCCCCGGGCTCTTCTACGAAAAGTATAAGCAAAAGTTAAAAACAGAAGCTCTAACAAATAGGCCCATAGCGAATTTGAAAGTTTACTTTTAACCCTACGAGTTAATCAATAGTATAAGGAAAAGCAGAAACCCTACCAAACAACCCACAACCAATTTGGAAGTTTCCCTTAAAACATACGAATTAATCAAATATTTCTTACAGCATATTTTCCTCATTGTTTTCTATAGCAGGAATTAGAGGAGAGAGAAGTGGAAAGCCTACTAAAAGACTTGGCTATTGTAAAAGTTCAACTGGAGGCAAAGGATTTGGCCTATAAGCAGGCTCTCCTTAAGCTAGATCATTATCAGAAAACACAAGATGAACTCTCAACCTTGCTCGAGAATTCCGATTATGTGAAGATCAAATACATCGACGAATGCAAAGAATGTAATTCTCGTATAAATCAACTGGAATCGACCATTAAGGAGATATCTGATAAATTACTCGAGTTTGAGGATGTGAGAAAACAGGTTTCACATGTTACAAATGAGTATATTACCAGCCAAGGACAAATTCTAAATACGGAAACACAAATTGATGAGCTCATACGCACAAAGGTTGAGTCCACGATGCAAGTTGAGGCGATGGAAAATGCTTTACGAGAAGAGAAACTAAAACCCGAAGAGCTTCTGCGGAATATTTCACAACTCAACGAAACTATTTTTCATTTGCAGCTGAAAGCTCACGAAGTAGAAGAAGTTGAAGCAGTAGCACAACTAGAATGCACAGAAAAGCTTTCTGCAATTGTGGATGATTTCGAAGAACAACTTCTGGAAAAATCGATACCCACTGATTTGTTGCAATTGGAACTGGAGCAAGCAAATGAGCTATACAGTTGTTCTCAGAAAGTTGCTTCTGATGCCAATCGTGAATTAAACGAGCTGAAAGAAGAAATGGAACAGCAACGAAGAAAGAATTTGGAACCTGCTACTTATATCACTTCACTTCAGACAGAGCTTGAACAATCAAAGATGGAACTTAGGAATGCAAACGAGGAGGCAGGCCGGTTGAACAGAGATAGAGAAAGTATGATGGCTGAGTTAGAGAAGATAAGAACCGAGATGGCTACGAATGGATTAAGAGATACAAAGGTGCAAGTTGAAATAGCATTACTAAAATTTGAACTTCATGAAGGGAGATCTAAACTCGCTGCAGTCGAGGCAGCTGAAGCAAGAGCTCAGAGCGAAAAATCAGCATTATATCATGCAGTTCAAGAGCTAGCATTAGTAGCTGAAGAAGCCAAAAAAGAGAATCGAGAGCTAAGAGAACTAATGAAATTGGCCAATGAGTACACGAAGAGTGAGGAGTTTGTAAAGGGCGAGTTAAATGCAAAATATGAAAAAACAGAAAGTCTAATGGAGGTTCATGTCACCATTTCAAGAAAAGAATACGATGCCTTGATCAAGAAGGCTAGACATGTGGACCAAGTTGTTGAGCCGATACATGCAAACGAACAAGCATTGAAGAACTTGACGAAAGAGATAGAAGCTGCAACATTAAAAATTGGAGAGCTTAGGGCTAGAGCAGAACAAGCCATAAGCAGAGCCGAGGCAGCTGAGAAGGCAAAAGCAGAACTTGAAGAGCAGAAAAGGAGGTGGAACGAACACCAGGAAAAAAGAAAGGCTGCTTTAGCCCAGTTGCGTGAAGAATCTTACTCCAAAGATTACATTACGAGTGACGAGCAAGATAATGTTATAGCAAATTACCAGCCTCTAGGTAAGGTTCTTAACATGAAATTCTAAGTTCAAATGTCACTTGGCCTAATCAAAATCTCTTTATTGGGGTCTGGATCTTCCATGTTTTTCAGGGGCAATCTATTGAGCAAATTATGAGTATACTTAGAAGAGAAATGTAGAAAAAATAGCGTCCTTTTCTATTATTCCATTGAATTTGAGATATTTACATTTCATATTGGCCAAATTGCTCGCTTTTCAAGAAGATTCCCTTTATAACAAAAATAAAAAATAATGTTTTTGCTTTTTTGACAACAAAACTAGTATAAAGATGACAGATTAAAAACCCAAAGTTGAACTAATAATCTGAAAGGAGATAGCTACGCACCCAAAGAAATATCAAACAACTAAAGAAATGAACAGTCGCTACTCTTTGCCACAAAATAGCAGTCAATTAAGGCAATAACATCTGAAAATTGCAGCTAAATCCCTACCTGAATTTCTAAGCAACAAAAAGTAAAGCAAACACAGCTACTCGAGCATTAAAGGACTTCCAAAATTGCCGCAAAAAGCTATTTTTTGAGGATGCTAGATTTTAAATTCGTTCTCAAAACTACAAATAGCTCAATAGAAGAAGCCAAGTACTTTCCCACCAACATTCTTTCTTCTAGCCTCTTCATGGTCCATGATGCCAGCAGATGTGGTCAGCACAATGTATCCAAACTGAAAAGTAATATGACAATCAAACAATTGAAAAAGAGATATAATGAAGGACTGAAAAGAAGAAAATTAAATTCAATTTTTTTAAACGCTTATAGTAATTAGCATTCACTTGGGGTTGACTGAATACCATTCCACACCTGGTGTGGCAGGATAAAGTTTTTCTGAGTCTAATTATCATACTGGGTACACTTAGCTCGACCGACCAGGGGAAAGATGGACGTAACGTGGGTACAACCAACAACATAATTTCATTTAGGGTTAACATGACGTTAAAGCAAATTTATGTCTATAGGAATGGTTTACGCAAATGAGGATCCATTTCCATACCCATTAGAGATGTGCTTCTTGGACTTAACTGGATGTTCTCGTCAATACATGTAGGTATCTCGATACAATTTTGAATAAGAGATAATAATTCCTCGAAAACAATATTCCATGAAAAAAAGTTACAAGTGCAGAACAGATATATAATTATTATATTGCAAGGTTCTGATAGCTAAATATTTCCCTAGGGGTTATCACCCGAACATTAATCTACAATAAATTACCTGTCTAGAGGGAAGCAACCTTGCAGTCCATCCCTCAATTTCCTTGACACCAACATCAAAGCGTGGGCTGATGACACCACACTTATTCAACCTTCCATTAAGTTCAACCACAATTTTACCAGATCGGTGATCATCAACGTACTCAAACTCTCCAATGTATCCTACAGGCATCATTAAGAATTATGAAAATCTCGCATTTCTGTAAATGTAGAATGTAACGCTACATAATGTTATATATACCGTGCTTTTGCATCACCAGGAGAAACTTAATAATGACTTTGGAGGATGGTCGAATCATGACCTGACGCTTCCCTCGCTTCTCTGCATTGTACATGCACTTAAGAGCATCATTCAAGACACTAACTCTCACCATTTTTGCTTAAAGATCAGGCTGCATCATAATTAAGAATAGTATTAGATATCATCATTCTGATTAAATTTAATTGGGAAAAAAAATCCCCAATGCTAGTGAAATCAAATACTAACAGAAAAAAAGCAGAGGCAGTAACAATAATTAGCATAAAAATTACACGCAGTTCGTCAGAAAGTAAGAAAGTGAAATTGAACTAAATCACTAAAAATACAGAAGAAAAAAAAAATTAAAAGCATGAATATTGTTTATTATTTGATCCGGTAGGAATTATAGAAAACGAATTGTCATATGTTATGTAACATTTTAAACAACTAGAAGCTGGCCCATTTTCACTTCTCCTTTCCGAACAAGGCTCTATCAACATACATATGAATAGATTTATATAAACAATGCCGATACATGCATACATACATATATAACAATTTTCATATGTATCGGAATTGTAGCTAACCGTAAAACCTGCCGACGAAGCAATTGAAAAATAATGCGGCCACAGTGAACTAGGGTTTTCTCCTGGAGGCCTCGTGGACGAAATGCCGGTAAGAACCGGATCTCTTATAATAGGCGAAAGCGCGAAGGCGATTTCACGAATTTGCCCTTGCATAAGAGCAATTCACGCAAGACCTTGTTTGGTTGTACTTAAATTTTATTTTTAAAAGTTATTCATTTTGTTAAAATTGAAGCATGATCAAACATAATTTCGGAAATTGTCAATCATCTCGGCGGTCACAAATTATTTATTTATTTTATCCATTTTCAATTTTCACAAAATTGTTTGCATTATCCCTTTCCCATTTTTAATCCCATCGTCTTGATTTTCTGTCATTTTTGATAACTTGGATTGTTTTAGTTTGAATTCGTCGGTTAAACTTGTTAATTGAAGCCTTATAGGCCATTATATGAATTTTCGGCTCCATTCGGAGGGACAATTGAACCCACTATCCCAACTGTAAACCCATTTCAAGTGAGGTTCTCAACTTTAAGCCCATTTTTTCTCTTTTTATCAATAACACATTTTTCAATAAAATAATATTAAATATAAATTTAAAAAAAAAATCATTCATTTTTAATTATACATTTTTAAAAAAATACTATTCATTTCATTATAATTTAAAATAATGGAGCCCAAACAGGAGCTAATATTTATTCAAGATTTTCTACATATGAAAAATAACTGCAACACTTGTGATTTCTGGTATGTATGACGATTTCTATACTCTCTTAGAAAATTTACCTCCTCTATACTTCATCCGCAAGGTTCATTGCTCTTCCTCTTGAGTATTAGGTAGTGTAATAGGTATTCTTATGATCGATTTAGTATGTATCTTTTTATATGTTTCATGTTTTGGATTGAATTTCGTCGGGCTCAACATTGCTTGCACTCTGATAATGCATCGACCCATATACTTTTATTTCAAGACAAAAATTCAATAATTCCTTAACAAAAATCAAGGAACTATTCACACGTTGTTGAGTAGAAATAAGGTATTTTAATGGTTGATATTTTTTCATAATCAAATTGTTCCCTCCAAAAAGTGTCAATCATAAAACGATGGTGCTAATGAGTGAAAGTCGGCATAGTCGTGACACTGACATTTTTTTTTCTACTCTAATTAGTTTTATTTGTGTATAGTTACCATATGAATGATAATTCATTTTATTTAGAGTCTGTTTGGGAATGATTTTTAGAATTGATTTTTTGACCATTAGAAGAAAAGTGAGGTCCACTTATAAGAGAAGAAGTCAAATATGACGGTTGGAATAGTGAAATAACGATGAAAAAATCACTCTCGAATAGGCTGTTAGCTAGCCCATTCAAATCGAATTCTTCCCCAAACCATTACCACAAACTATTAGTTGTGGATAAAAATTTCAGTGATTTATTTCAGAATTGGACCAAACTAATTTCGACTTACATATTTTATGAATGGATTCGAATAGGTTCATAAGTGAGGCAAGAACTAAATGAAATTAAAACTAATCCGTTTTCAACGCGTACATGCTTATTTATATAATAAAAGTCACTATGTAGTTACCAGACTAAATGCTGTGAAACAAACAATTGAGGAAGAAAATTTACATTAAAATCATTCTTGTTTCTTGGAAATGATTGAGACTAGCTAGTTTGGTTTGATTCGGATAACTTTCAGAATAAACATCGCCTTTGAGTCGATTTTTCTATCTAGGTATTTATCACTTCATATTTATAGAACGATATGAAACATTATTATGGATTTTCTAACCTTGTTACTTTTCATAGATATTTTTTAGTGCAACGAAATCATGAGTTAAGATCTGCTGTTCAAAATTGGTTATCCAACTCGCTATCCACCCAATAATTCATTGACACATCATTTTAAATTAATATGTCCAACTTTTCTCGTATTGTCACTTGTACTTCAAAATAGGTGTAAAATGACATGTTAATAAATCATTGGTGTACAACAAGCTGAACAGGTAATTTTGAAAAGCAAATCTCAACTCTGAATTCAAGAGTTATACGCAACAAATCTACATAAACACTCCATTCCTTAAGACATGCTTAATTTGGACTTTGAAGAGAAGAATATTTAAATGCTACCAAACTATACCCACTCTATAGTTTCTGTTAAAGTCCCAACAAAATTAAGTTATGATTAATTTAACCTATGATATGAAATTCACACATAGAAAATGAGGTGGTAGGGTCCTAGCTAGAATGTAACAATAAACACGACACATCTAGTGAGTCATGCTTAAGCACAATTACAGCACGTGTCATGGACGATGCATGGTGATTTGTGCAACGATGTTTGTTGGTTGTCTCAATCGCACTCCAAAATTAGTATAACTTCAAGTTCCGAAATTTTCAGTTTTCAATATAGCACCTCTTTTGGGTAAAGAACTTATCATCGACTGTGTGATTAATTGTTTTTGTATTTATGGTCTAATTCAAATCTTCAGGTTGATTGCTTGCTTTCTTGGTAACCCATATTTCATTGTGGAAAAAAAAAAAGTTTACGTGCATACACACACATATTGCATCATGATGGTTTTTATATAGATAAAAAAGCGAGAGATCATATAGAGATAAGATCACGAGAATCATGGATGCTCGAAATCTATAATTATCTTTTGTTAAACTTCTAACTATGTACCACCCATGCATGTTGCTCGTACGATAGGTTTTGACAAGGCATGAGAGGCTTTTCAGTTTCAGACTTCATTGACTTTAAGATTGCCTTAGAGGGGATCTCATGACAATGAATTTGTTACTAATTTTCACGTTCAAAGAAAAGACATGAAGTGCATTAGGATGCATAAAGCAGCGATTTCAAGTTGACAAACAACTAAATAACGAGATAATAACCCAAATAGTCATTGAACTTTGCAAAAAGTTTCCACGAGATCACTAAAATTTAAAAATCATCTCCTAGGAAATCTTTTACAAATTTTAGTGATGAACTGGGTGATTTTTAAAGTTCAGTGATCTCGTAGAAACCTTTTACAATGGTCAGTGATAATTTGAATGATTTTTAAAGTTCAGTGACTCCGTGAAAACCTTTTGTAAAGTTCAATTACCATTCGGGTTATTATCTCAATAAATAACACTTAGTTGGATCATACAGGAGCTTCCAACATGAAATTTTTAAAAGAGTGTCGAGACTCTTTTTTATTATAATAATGTTCGACCTCTAAGAGTGTCTAAACTCAAAATTCTTTTTTTAACCATGTCTGATTGCATCGTTTAATGCCATTGTTAACCGTGAAGATTAATTTGTTCTTTTTAAAACTTATTTTACTTCTAGTACTTCTCTTCACAGACATAGGAATATGTTCAAAATCGTTTCTCATATGATAAATGTATTTGGGCAGATTTGAGGACTCCGAAAATCAGGAGAGATATAATCGGAATAAACCAATGAAAAACTAGAAACTTTAAAAAGGGTGGACAGTATCAAATTTGTTAAAACCGGAGGGTGCATCTACAAAAAAAAAAAAAAAAAAAAAAAAGAAAAAATTTGTTAAAACCGGAGGGTGCATCTACAAAAAAAAAAAAAAATGAAAAGAAAAGAAAAAAAACATTTACTAGATACTCGCGCTTGCCGGTATCGCTCCCCCACAGTATTTCATCGGCTCCTTCCCTCGAATCATCAGGGGCGGACCCAGAGACTTCGGACTGTGGGGTCAAAAACGAAATTTTTTTTCGAAGAACGTATCATTAACGAAAATAAAATCATATGTTACTACAATTGTAGCCTACGCGTTTTCATACTTTGAAAACATCGTATAATTACATCGTTATCAATATCGTCAAGTACATCGCTCTCAATATATGCAACCAAACTATCACTTAACCACTAATCTCCCATTCGATTACGCAATCGATTATTGACAATCTTCATTGTAGAAAATACTCTTTCTTCCGTAGCAATTGCAACTGAAAGAATTAACGCCAATGTTACAAGCCTGTAAACTAATGGGTACACCTCATGTTTTTTCGTCACAATCAAGGTTTCTGCAAGATCATTAAGGCCTTTTAACCCTTCAAAATCTTTGTGAGTGCGCATATCAATATTATACGTCTGAATTTGCTCTTCAAATGCCAAGATCTCTATTGGTTTAAAATCTTTGAAATAATACTCACATAATTGAATTAACTTATCCTTGTTGAAAGCAAAGAATGAATTATCCGGACTCAAGCATGCAACACAAAGGAGTAAGTCACTATTTACCTCAGAGAAACGATCATTCAACTATTGAATTTTCATATCGATGATAGCATAGAAGAAATCCACACGAAAATGATGTAGATTTGTAATTTCTTGAGTGGTACACCGTGAACAGCTTAGAGGTATAAATATATCATCCATATTGAGAACATCAATATTGTATTTTTCGCAAAAGCACGAAACTGTTGTTAAAAATGATTTCCATTCATTGTCCCTCGTTGCTTGAAGTCGTTCTTTACCTATTTTAACTAATTTCATAGCGTTGACAATATCTTGATCTCTCATTTGTAATGATTTTGACAATTCATCTGAATTACCCAATACCTTTTTAATGAGATGCAAACTGAATACAAAATCAAATGTCAACATAGATCCCAACAAAATATGTGCTTCTCCTCCCTTTCCACAACTAGTATCATCACTGGCAATCATCTCAACGACATCAACTGTAGCAGAAAACATGATAATCAAGTTAGTAAAGAATTATAGTGAGAGCCCCAACGAGTATCACCAGGTCGCTTAAGAGTAGTTTCTTGGTTAAGGCCCTTTCCACTTGAGATTTCACCAAGATTTAATGGTTCAACAACTTCAAGCCTTTTCTTCTCTCGAAGAAGATCACATCGCTTAGCCGATCCACTAACAACATTTACCACTTTATTCACTAAAGCAAAGAATGTCTCAATTTCTGCGTGCTTGCTTGCCACAGCTACAAGAGCTAGTTGTAGCTGATGAGCAAAATAGTGTATATAAAAAGCACTTGGATTCTCTTTCAAAGTAAGTGCTATAAGACCATTGTACTCACCTCGCATGTTGCTCGTGCCGTCATAGCCTTGACCTCTTAAACTAGAT